GGACACACATCTGGGAGGGTAATGGCACAATTCCTGCCCTGCTCCCTGCAAAGCCTGGCTTATCTCCTGTCCCCCAGCCTGGCAGCTGTGCCAGGAGCCCCTGGGCAAGGAGGGAAGGAGGGAAGGAGAGGCTGGCATGCTGCAGGCAGGGATACGTACGCTGCACCCAGCTCCCCGTCACCGGGCTCAGGAAGTTGGGGTACAGGCCCTGGGGCTTCTCCACTCTGCTGAGCACCCTGCGGATGTTCCTGACCTGTGAGAGAGCACACACAGCCTGGGGTTAACGCTCTGCTGCCCTCCCTCCATCCCTGCCCTGCTCCAGCCCAGGGACACAGCTCAGGGAGGGACAGGCTCTTATTTCAACCCTTATCTCAGAAATGGCTCTGGAAGCCCTGCAGAGCCCCAGCTCAGCTCACTGCCATGGCCCAGGTGCAATCCTGGGAGATTTTGTCCTTCCAGCACCTCAGGGGGTTACAGGGAATTGGAGAGAGACTTTCCCCAAGGGTGTGGAGTGACAGGACGAGGGGGAATGGCCCCAAGGTAAAGGAGGCCAGGGTTAGGTGGGATATTGGGAAGGGATTTCTCCCTGTGCCCAGAGCAGCTGTGGGTGCCCCTGGGTCCCTGGCAGTGCCCAGGGCCAGGTTGGACATTGGGGTTTGGAGCACCTGGCACAGTGGGAAGCGTCCCTGCCATGGCAGGGCTGGCACTGGAGGGGCTCTGAGGTCCCTTCCAAACCCAAATCTGATTCTGTGCTTGGGGATCTGGGTGGAAATGGGAGATGTGAGCCATGCCAGGGGTGATTTTTTCCATGATCCAAAGGGAAAGGAGTGGCAGGGATGAGTGACTCACACAGCACTTAAATTCACCATGTGGTCACTTAATGTGATGAATTGGGGCCTTTAATTTCAACAAGAGACAGTTCCCTTAATACCCCAGAACAGCCAGCACTTAACTCTCTAAAGCCTCCCTGGGTTTCACCCCCATTAAATCCAACAGGCCTTTCCCTTAAGGGACCCAGTTAAATTCCATGCAGCATAAATATTCTATTATAACCTACAGAGCAGCTAATTTGCCCTAACCCTTTTACAAAATCAGACAATTTGCACGCCAAAAGCTGGCTACAGCCTTCAGCCAGTGCTTCCAAGGAAGTTGTCAGGCTCCATAATATTTACTGGAGTTTGGGAGCTTGGCATATTCATGACAGGTTTGAATAAAAGACACAGATGGGCTTTAATTCCTGCTAAAATCACCCCGGTCCCAAGCTGGGAGCTCATGAGTTGATCTGCTCCCCTGCAGGAATTTCCCACAGAAATTGCTGGGAAGTTGCTGTGGGCCCTAACAGCTCACACCACCCCACATTTCCCTCTCAGGGTGGCTGTGCTCCATTTTCTGTGCACACACCAGCCCAGGAGAGTCCCTCAGAAAGGTTTTGCCTTTTTCCTCCACAGGCTTAGGAGGAGAAGAGGAAAATCTCTTAGGCTGGGGACAGAGGTTTGCCCCTGGCTCAAAATGCCACGGTTTAAACCCAGAATGAGGATGCAGTTCTGGTTTTTAGCAGAGCATCCCCAGCGTTTCCTCCTCTCTCCCCTCCCTTCATTTCCTCACCCTGCTCCCTTTCCTGGCCTCTCCTCAGCTGCCCCTCCCTGGCAGCCAATTTGTCATTGTCCCTGTCCTCAGGAACCTCAGCCTTGTCTCTGTTTCACATCACCAGCCTCTCCTGATCTCCCCACAGAGTTTTCTGGCTTTCCTGTTTCCCTTCACCCTCTGCTTTCCCTCCTCTGACACTCATGGTTCGCCCCACCCTCACTGCTTTCCATCCCCTCCATCCCAGCTCCACTTTGCTCTCCCAGCTTCTCCCTCCTCTTTTTTTTATTTTTTCCTGTCTCTCTTTCAAATCCCTCCTTGTTTCTCGGCTGACAGACCTGCACTGGGCACATCTTGGAAAAGCAGAATTTTTAGGGTTTTTTGGCAATCCTGTCTGTTTGTACCCCACTGTGGCACTCTGGACCAGCCCCATTTCCCTCTGGGTTCTGCCTGGAACAGTCTGTGTCCCTCAAAGCAGGCTCCTGAGGGATCTGCAAGTGCCCTTCTCTGGGTAAAACCCACACGGGGAAAAGCCCCAGGAGGATGAAGAGGCCACCCCAGAGAGCCAGGCTGGGCTCACTTGCCTTTTCTGCAAACACTGGGTTGCCAGAGAGCTCGGAGAGGTGCAGGAACTCCAGGTGCAGCGTCCCAAACTCTGCCAGGATGCTGCTGCCAGCAGATGCCCAGCCCCAGCTCCAGCTCATGCCACTGCAAGGAGACAAAAGGGAGCCCTCAGTGCCAGGAAACAGCCAGAGCCTGGGGTGAGCCTGCCCAGGGCAGCCCTGCCTTGGCCAGGGGCCACTGGGGCATGGAAAGGACTCACACACAGATTTGGGACAGACACACAGGTTTAGGACAGACACACAGGTTTGGGACAGACACACAGATTTGGGACAGACACACAGATTTGGGACAGACACACAGGTTTAGGACAGACACACAGATTTAGGACACACACACAGATTTAAGAGACACACACAGATTTAGGACAGACACACAGATTTGGGACAGACACACAGATTTTAGGACAGACACACACACAGATTTAGGACACACACAGATTTGGGACAGACACACAGGTTTAGGACAGACACACACACAGATTTAAGAGACACACACAGATTTGGGGACAGACACATAGATTTTAGGACACACAGAGATTTAGGATACACACACAGATTTGGGACACACACACAGGTTTAGGACAGACACACACACAGATTTAGCACACACACACACAGATCTGGGACACACACACAGGTTTAGGACACACACACAGATTTGGGACAGACACACACACAGATTTGGGACAGACACACAGGTTTAGGACAGACACACACAATGATTTAGGACACACACACAGATTTAGGACACACACACAGATTTAAGAGACACACACAGATTTGGGGACAGACACACAGGTTTGGGACAGACACACACAGATTTAAGAGACACACACAGATTTGGGGACAGACACATAGATTTTAGGACACACAGAGATTTAGGATACACACACAGATTTGAGGACAGACACACAGATTTTAGGGCAGACACACACACAGATTTAGGACACACACACAGATTTAGCACACACACACATATTTAGGACAGACACACTGATTTAGGACCCACACACAGATTTTCAGCAGCAGTTCAGCAACACCACTGAGCTGTGATTTTCCAGAAATTCTTTAGGACTGGACTAACACAGAGACTTCACAAACTGCATTTCTGTGTGGGAGAGGAATCCTTGAACAGCTCAGCTGACAAACAGCTTTGGAGGAGCACTGCCACCCTGCCCCACAGAGACATTTGGGATAAAACACCCCGGGACAATCCTGGAGGATGCAGGGTTGGCTGTGAGCTGCTGCCCCGGAGCTGTGGTGGCTCCAGTGAGTCCCGGGGAGGGGACAGGGACAGCTGGGGGTGACACTAGATGGCGCCGGGAAGCTTGGCTGGAGAGAGAAGGGTTTGTTGTTTACAGAGGTTAAAACGAATGATTCTGAGCACGAAAATAGAGGGAAAAAAGAAGTTTCCCTCGCTGTGATGGAGAGGAAAACGTGGCAGGTCCCGATCTGGCTGTTTGGTCACGACAGGCAGCGTGGTCACAGTGCCCAGCCCTGCAGAGCTGCTCTGCTCTCCAGCAGCTCAGAGGAAACCACTGTTTAAAGGACCTTGGCCTCCAAGGGGAAGGAACATGCCCAGAACCTCCTTTATCTCCCTGATAAGTGGCTCTGGAATGTCGAATCGTTGCCTCCCCCCGTGGGGATCCAAAGCAGCAAAACCAGCGGCAGGTCAGGAGAGAGGCCAGGAGAGGATGCTGAGGGAAAATGTGGAATACAGGGTTTGGGGAGATGTGAAGGGAGCACAGGGAGAGTTCACAGAGCAAGAGCACAGGGCAGCAGCTGAAGCTGGGGCAGGATGGAGCAGCAGGATGGAGAGCAGGAGTGTGAGATGGGACACAGGGGACAGAGGCAGCCACAGGAAACTCTTCAGCAGAGAGGGGACCCCAGAGGAAAGGTGACAGCAAGAGATAAGGGCAGCTGGGTATGGCAGAGCTGGGGGCTGGCTGTGCTGGGCCCTGGAACATGAACGTGCAGAACTGACTCAAAGCCAGGGGGATTTTGGTTTCAAATTTCTGAGCGTCCCTTTTAACCCACCCCCCAAGCGAGGCCCACACACACTGCAGGACCCTCCTCCTCCTCCTTCTGGGATGCTGAGGTCTCTCTGGCATTAGCACATCCTTGCAAAAGCAGAACTGGAGAGAGAATTCCTCGTGGCCAAACCCTTCAGGGCTTTGTTCTGGCCCTGGTGTTTGGGTCAGTGTGGTGTCACAGCCTCACCTCGCCCTCCCCTTGCACACTGAGTGATTCCCATTCCCTGGGGGCTCACAGGCTCTGGGTGCAGCTCCCTCCACGCCTGCTCCTCAATCAGCCCCAGAGCAGTGGGGGCTCTGCCATGGCCTGGGTGTTCTGTCCATTCCCTCTGCTCTCACCCAAGGTCATCAGCAAAACATTTTGGGAATGTCTGGGCAGACCGAGGCTGCTTCAATTGTCTTCACAAAGGGCAGGGGAGGGTTTGGCATTTCTGTGAAAGGTTAGTCTATGCAGAGCCTTTATCAGGCCCAGAGCGAGCAGGATGTCTGTGCTGTAAAAAAGGACAATTACAGAGCTGCTGGTGGCTCCAATTTTCCCCGGGATCAGGAGCACATCAGACAGCTGAGGGCTGACAGTGATATTTGAGCAACGCAGCAGCGTGAGCCAAATGTTTGCAAGTCTTTTGCTTGCAGAGCCAAGGAGGAGATTTGGGCTAAGGGCTGGAAAATGACTCTGAGGGTTTCGCAAGAGGTGAGGATGACAGGCTTTGTTAACCCACATTTCCTGCAGCCCTCACCCGTGGATTTGTTTGGATGCATCAGAAGCAGCAAATCCAAATCCTGCCTGGCTGGCAGGGAATTGTCAGCCAGGAGAGGCAGGAGCAGCAGGGCAGTGCTCTCTCTGCTGCCAGACCCTTTGTGAACTCAGCTGCCTCCCTGGCCATGAGAACATCACCAGTCTGGATTCTGGCTCTGAGCAACGACAGAGCCTGGCTGAGGGCTGAGTGCTGTGTTCTGTTCCCAGCACCAAAGCTGTCAGCCAGCCCCATCCACTCCCTTGCCCAGTTTTCCCAATTTTTAAATCCATTTTTCCTGGATGAATTCACATGCATCTAGCTGGGCACATTGAAAATCCATGCTGTGAGCAGAGTAGAAAATCACCTTTCACAGAACCTGAGAGGGAGGAAAATGCTCTTGCAGCAGGGAGCCCTGTCAGGAGGCAGAAGGCAGAGGAAGAAATGTGGCCAGCCCCAAATGGATGAATAAAACACAGCTGGGTTTGCCCTGAGTCACTGCAATGTGTGCCAGGGTCTGAGCTGGCAGAGCAAGTGACCTGGAGGAATCTGCCCTGGAGGTGACAGCTCTGAGGAGCTGCTGCTGCTGCCCCTGCTCCTTCCCAGCCCCAGAATAAAGGAAATATTGAGGCCGTGCTTGCCTGCCCAGGTTGATGACTCCACGCGGGATTCCAGTGGGGGTGTTGAAGGCTGGCAGAAGTTTCTCTCCAAGTTCCAGGGCTTTGCTCTTGAACACCTGTTTAAAAGGGAGGATAAATATTTGATGGAATGATTCACAGAGGATTCTCTCAGATCCCCTTTATCCAAACACACAGTTATAAAACACCGGAGGTGCTGCAGAGCCCCTGCTCCAGGTGTGCTGTGCCCTGCACAAAAAATCTGAACCAAAAATCTCACTCAACTTGGGCATCTCTGAATTTCCTCTCAAATCTGCACTAAAGCAGCACCCAAAGGCTCAGCCTGCACCAGAGCAGCTCACAGCAGCACCTGTGGTCTGAGCTGATCCACAGAGTGCTCCCCAAATCCTTCCCACTCCCAGCATGGCAGAGAACACAAGGAGCTGAAATCTGAAATCCTCCTGGGCTGAAGCACTGCTGGATTTACAACGTGGGCTTGCCCAGAGTTTGTTTTCATCTCCTGGTGTAAAAAACATGATTTGCAACCAGCCATCCTCTCCTTGCAGCTCCTGGCCAAGAAGGATTGGTGGTTTCATGGCTAAGCTGCTCCTTTTGCACTGGTAATGCCTCAGTTTTGGGCTTTCCACTCAAATTGCAGCTTATGGTGCCTTGCAGCACAAAGCAAGCACACACAATTATTTTGGGACAGAGTGATAACAGCACTAATCTTCGCTGCAGAGATTAGTCCTGATCAAGAGAAGCCTCTAAGTGACTTAGGAGATAAAGCACAAGCCTTTTACCTCTAGCCCTGTGGTGGTGGCTCTCAGAAAGCAGGAACTCATTGCTCTAAAAATACAGCACTGAGGAAAGCTGAGCCCTCCTGTGGGCTCTCAGACCTTTGATACTCTCACAGGGAAACAGGGGGCTGGTTCAGAGGGGAAAGCAGGGACTGGGCTCTGCCTTTCAGTGGCACTGGGTAAGTGACAGGCACTGCCCCAGCTGCTGATGGGACTCCAAGGGGTCACTGCTGGAGTTTGATGCTTTGATGTGGTTTCTCTTTGCTCTGTGGAGCTGAAACCTGTTGAAGTTGCCACTGAGGCAGGCTCTGAGTTGGGGTACTGAGTCTTTGAGGGTTTTCCCTGGAGGGAAATCCCTGAGGGAAGTCATTCCTGGAACACATTTGAGAAACAGCTGAAGGAAAATAGCTGCTCTGGATCAGTGGTGTCACTGTGCAGGAGCCATCCCACCTCTGTGCTGGGGCTACTGAGCTCTCATTTAGGGCCAGTCCTCACACAACTGCCCCTGAACCAGGGTTTCAGACTCCCAGGGCAGAATTAATAATAATTAATAATCTCCTCACCTCCCTAGAGATGTAAAATTCCATCCCAGGGAGGGCAGTGGAGATGAGATCTCTGCTTCAGCCAGGGCTCCACATCCACCCCAGGGGCTGAGACCCCCGCCCTGCCCCCAGGGCCCCCCAGCTCAGCAACTCCTGCTGCAGGGGGATGTGGGGAGCCCCTGCCCTCCCAGTGCCCTCCTTACCCGAGGCAGGACCTGGGATGGTGTCTGGTGGAATCTCACCCGACTTGCAGAGAGAGGAACAAGCACAGAGACAAAGCTCCTCTGCAAATGGCATTTCCCCGGGGAGCAATGTGTCCGACTGCAAACGTGTCTGGCTACAATTGCCCACAGGAGGGAGGGAAGATCCCTGGCAAATGAGCCGTGCACGGTGTGTGCAAGGTAATTATTCGAGGCTTAATTAAGGGAACATTAGTGGCATTTCCATATTCACAAAAAGGATGGGTTTAGCCTGTTGTTAAGGGGGGGGATTATCTGATGCTCAGGGCAGGGCTCTCAGCTGGTTCCTGGGGCTGGGGGGACACTGTGGGGACACTGCAGGAGCTGTGGGGACACTGTGGGGACACTCCAGGAGCTGAGGGGACACTCCAGGTGCTGTGAAGACACTGTGGGGACACTGTGGGGACACTCCAGGAGCTGAGGGGACACTGCAGGAGCTGTGGGGACACTGTGGGGACACTGTGGGG